GACTTCAGGATCAATCCTCGGTATATCCGTTGTCGACCAGGCGAACACGTCGTCGTGATCCCTCAGTAGCTGCACAAGCTCTTCCTGGAGGCGGTCATCTAGGAGAGAGCCAACCTGGACCGTCCTCTTGGGTCTTCTTCATTGAGTGGCACTTGGATGAGGTGTTCGACAGGTTGACTGTGCTATGCTTTCACCTTGTCCCATAGATCATATGCTTCGGCCATCAATGTTTTCGCGGCTGGGCGTGGTCCTCGACAAGAGAGCAAGTAGCATTACCGTGCAACTCTTTGGTCTCCACGTGCCACGCCTACACCGTATTCAGTGGGGAACTTCATGGCGAGGTGGAATGTGGAGACCATAGCCTGCAGAGCATTAAGGGCTGGCCTGCCGAGGATAGCGTTGTAAGACGAGGGACAACGAATCACAATGAAGTCCGCCATGGTCGTCGCAGTGATGCCGCTATCTCCGAGCAGGAGGGGAAGTGTTATCCTTTTAGTGGGCAAGAGGGACTCCCTAGAGAAGCCCATTAGGGGAGTGTTGACTGGGGTGAGGCGCTCTTTGTCTATGTCGAGCTTCTTGAATGCGTCCTCAAAGAGCACATCAGCGGAGCTACCTGTATCAACCATGATCCGCCGCATCTCAAAATTAGCAACCTCGGCCGTGACTACCAAGGCGTCGTCATGCAGGGTTTGAATCCCCCGGAGGTCATCGTCGGTGAAGGTGATAGACTGGCTGCGCTTCTTCTTGTTCCCCCGGTTGTCGATTCCGCACAATCGTGCATACTTCTTTTGCCCCGAGCTACTCTCTCCCCCTGCGGCAATTGCTCTTGATATGACGTAGATTACACCAACAGGAGGGGCTCAAAGTGGTGGTCGAGCATTCTCTGCACACTGTTCTTCCTATGCTGGTTTCTCACTTTTGTCGAAAAACCCGCTGAGGTATCTGTGCCTGATTAGGTCTTCGATGTGGTTAGGCAGGTTGCAGTAGTTCTCCGTGTCATGATCGTGGTCCCTATGGAATTCGCAATACTTGTCGTGGTTCCACTTGTTGCCTTGTGTTTTCATCTTCTCAAGCCAACGGACATAACCTTGGTCACGGATTTGCATCAGAACTTCAGAATGCGGTGTATTCAGCGGCGTGAAGTTCAGATAGGTCAACAACAGTGTTCGCGGTCTATGATTGGGTTGGCAATCCTGCCTCTTATGTTCTGCATTAATGTAGTTCTGCGCATGGCTCATTAGCACAACTAGGGTCTACGGAGGGTTTTTTGAGATGGAGAAGTTGAATGGCAAGGGACGGCGTCCATGTTGAATAGCAGTGACGACCACAGATTGATTTAGGTTTCAGACCTATAGCACTTCCTTGTTGAATCTCACCAAGTAATCTCTGAGAGATTCTGCCTTCCTCTGCCACACTTGCATGAGGTTGGCCGAGGTCTTCCAGTGCTTCTGGCTCACCGTGAATTGTACACGAAATTGGGTTTCGAGCTGCTCCCACGATGTTATGGAACGTGGAGGCAAGGAAGAATACCAAGTCAGGGCTGGTCCTATAAGGGTGGCTACTAGGGATTTGCACATCAAGCCCTTAGAGGATCCGTGCAACATCATTTGAGCCTTCAGTGCCTCAATGTGGTCGGTGGGATCAGAATTCCCATCGTACTTTTCGAGCTGTGGTGCCCGCCACCCTGTGGGAGGCACCTCATCCACGATCTCCTAGGTGAACGGTGGCTCCTTAGTGGTCGGCGTGCCTGGCAGCGCAGGCTGATCTATAGCTGACGCCGTGCTTCTCTAGCCTTGGCTGCGCTCCAACTGTTCCAAGCGTTGTCGAATGCCATGAATTTCCCCGTCTCTGTTATCCAGGACTGTAGTATGCGCGACTTTCTCCTTCTTGGGCCGTGCAGAGCAGTCTTTCACCGAGTTGGACTTCGCAACGGAGATCACGTGAGGTGGCGTCCGCTTGTCGAGTCTCTCTTTGGCGGGGATTCGCGTGGTTTGGTGTGTCCTATTGTGGTTGTCGAGCTCGCAAGAGTGGGCCATAGAGGCGGACCTCCTTGCTGTCTCATGCTCGGACCGTGCTCCCCTCCTTTCCGGCAGACGCGTTTGGGGTCCTCGGGATGAGGATCGTCCTTGGCACATGTTGAGGAGTGAGGGGGAACGACTCGGTTGGGCGGTGCCACGGATCCTAGTGTTTGCATCATCTCGAAGATCTATCGACCTTCTCTTGCATTGCTCAAAACTGCACAGGATCAATTGCAGCTGGAGGCTGTGGAGTTTCTTGATGTGGAGGGCTACGGTGCCGAGATTTCCGAGATGGGGATCGGCCTGTTGATCGTTCGGACTGGTTCTTGGGCATCTTGATTGTTTTCTTGGCTGCGCGGTGAGGAAGGAAATATTTTCGGGAAAGGCTTTTTGTGTGTTTCCCACAGACGACGCCAATCTGATGCTACTCAATCCGAGGTGGTGCACGGACTAAGGAGAGCAACCAGATAGTCCTTGCCAATAGGGTGGTGTCGAGCTACAAGGGCAAGACCACACTTCAAGACCTATGATCAAGAAAGGTGAAGCCAAAGGCCCGGGGGGTTATCCCCGGGTCGGTACTCCAATACTCAAGTCAGTAGGAGGTAGTAGGAGGTAAGGCCGAGCTAAGAGAGTGCTGGGCCGAGCAAAGAGGAAGTATGGGCGTCCGAAGTTGGAATCCTTTACCTTGAGCATGGAATACCTTCTTATAGCCGAAGACCGTCTCTTGGTCGGGTTGGACCTTCGGGGTTGTCGGGATGAGGTTACCCGTCGAGGTATTCGGGATAGAATCTTAATCCCCGACGGAGTTTTCCTCCTTATTCTTCCTTATCGATAGTTACACTTATCTGCGTGACGTGTAGCTAACGTGGCTAAGAGGATGAATGCGTGTTGCGGAGCTGGCCGATCTATGCCAACGTGGCCAGGCTGACTGGGCAATGATTGGGTGGCCACGCATCTCTTTGGACCAGCTCAGCCATCACCTGAACTGAAACACACCATTTAGCGAGGCATATTGAGTTTGATATGATTTTGACTAATTAGCATTTAGCTTGGTATTTTGACAAAAAATCTCAAGGCATTTGTTATTTCTATTTCTGCTCCTTTTTAGTGGCTGTTAATAGACTAGATATTAGTCCATTCTGATCCGGTCCAACATGAGTCCATTACTAGGTCCAATCCAATCCAATAAAATATTTTGGTTTTAAATGATTCAATTCAATGTCTTAATAGATCATCCAACCTGATTAAATTGGTTTTAAACTTTTAATTTAGATTGCATCCAACCCAAACATGGTTCATTGACACTCTTACTTTTCTGTTAATAGACCGGATATTGGTTCAACCCAATCCAATATAAATTCATCATATGAATCCAATAAATACTTTGAACCATTAAGTCTAGACTCTAATTCAATATGTCTTATCGGAATCTTACCTATTCAAATTGGTTTTGATTCGGATAGGTCCAAACCAAACCTGGTCCATTGACTCCCCTATTATCAAGATATCTTACATGTCTCTTACAAAATGACAATTTACTGATTTAGACATTTCATATGAATAATTATAGCTGAACCATGAAATATATAAATTAACTACGGGAAGGTATGTTTGCATGTAGACACATAGATAAGGCTGTGTTGCGGTGTAAAACGTTACCACCAGTTCGGTTTCGCCAGCATTTGGATGTGGTGTAAAACATTATTAGTGGTTCATTTTTTGTAGGCATTTGGATGGAGGTTTGGTTTACATCGTAATTTGATGTAAAATGACACTTACAGTAAAGTTTTACACCGATTGTCGATGTTAAAACTACATTAATAAAATCGATGTAATTTTTACATGAACATACATTTTTCAATGCCCACCTTTTTTAAAAAGTTTAATTTTTTCAAACGGTTCGGTGTGAAACTCCACCGATGAGATTTACACTCCAAACAAATGCAACCTAAGCAACATAATACACTGAAACCCAAACCCAAACCAACTTTTTTTTTTGGGTTGGATCATAATTGGAATCAAAATCACCTATTTCTGATGCCTGTTTGGTTTGGTTGGAAATCAGAATCCGATCCAGTTGTTGTTGTTTGGTTCATTTTAAATTGAAATCAGAATCAATTGAAAATGGGAAAAATGACGATTCAGCCCAGAGTCAGAATTTGTAGGCTCAAAGTACATTTGGGGTAAGTGCCAACTCAGAATTGATGCCAATTCACGAGTGGGTATGGGTGCATAGAGTGTGGGTTTTTGACCTTTTGAATGCATATAGCTCTGCAGTGGAAATCAGAAATTTGCATTGGGCCTGTCCGTACTTTTCTGTTGAAAATTTTCAATTTTGTATTAATCTATTTATTATTACTTTATTAATATTTGATGAATATGTAATTATTATTTTATTGATATTCTACTATTTTTGTTTATTATTTAGTAATTAATATGTTAGCATTTTATTATTACTTTAATTATATTAAATTAATATTATATTTGTACTTAATTATTATTATCATAATTATTATTTATTAAATAATATCTTTGTTTTTTATTGTTAATTTATTAATATTTTAATTATTAATATATTTTTATATTATTATTATTATTATCGTATTATTACTTTCATAATATTTTATTATTTAATTATCATTTTATGAATTGTTTATTAATATTGTATTAATATCTTATTATAGTACTATTTTACAGTATTTTTGTTAGTAGTTTATTATTATTTTATTGTTTTATTAATATTAAGATTTGAAAGTTTTTGTTTTTTACTTCTTAATCTCTGGAATGGGAATCGGAATCCCAATTCCTGTAGTGTGAAACATAGGAACAGTTGGAATCGGTCAGGCCATTCCAGGAAACCAACCAAACAAATCCTAAATGGCCTAATCAAATATTATTTAGTGTTTTGTAATGTAATTGGTGAATATAAAGTATATACGGGAAAGATTAACATGAAATAAGAAAATAAAAATAATAAACAAATGATAATGACATGGATGAGAAAGCGAACAAGCACATTTACCCCGACTCTTCTTAATGTTAAAAGTGAAAGTGTATAATAATACCATACCACCAACCTATACATGCTTGTAAGTTGGTTGGTAGGAGTCTGATGAGATGCGGTGGTCATTTATAGTAGGGGCAGGTTGGGATGAGTTGTTGTTGGTCATCGCCCTGTATCCACCGTTGATGGCTGCTCCAAACACACCGTGACCGTGCTGATGCTGATGCCCCACCCCCACTCCCATGTGAAATGCGGGCGTAAAAGCCGCGATTCCCAGCGCATGCCCACCCAAGTCGGCAGTCCGCTTCACCAATGGGTCTCCGCCTCTTATGGAGCCGCGCTCGCCCTCAAACTCACGGTAGCGCTGCAGATACACGGTTAAAGGCTCGATGTAGTCATCGAACCCCAGTTTGCTCATGGCCCAAAGCACGTCGTCCGCGGTTATGGTCTTGCGCTGCTCCCTCTGGCACCGGTCGTTGGCTTCCCCCGTTATGAAGCTGATGTACTCCGACACGCACTCTTGGATCGTCTCCTTGGCGTCATCCGATATTTTAGCGTGTGCCGGCAGCACCTTGCGCATGATACGGATTACGTTGGCGATGGGCATGAACCGGTCCTGCTCTCGCACGGTGCACCCACTGTCCCGCTCCGACATGTCGTCCACCACCGTCGATTGGCTGTTTGAGGAGGAGTGATTGATGTTGGCGGCCACCATCATTTTCATCCCTTCCGTACATACAGATTTCAAATTAATATGTCAGAATTCGTTTTAACCAGAAACAAAACAAAAAATAATCAATACGTGAGAAATTGGATTGGGTTGTTTTGTTTTAGAAAAGGGTACAAAGAAAATGGGTGCGTATCAAGGCATCATGGGTATTATAGGGTTGCTTCCTTCTCTTTCCTCACTTGATTGAAGCTGTAAATCCCTCGGACAATAAGGTGTAGACTAACGGCAACCCCCAGAAGAGAGAGAAGACGACGTTCAGATATAGAATAGAGACCCAAGTTATCTTTATTAATATAGTTTTATACTTTGGAAGGGAGAGCTAATAGGAAGTTAGGAACGAGCCCTTGCATGAATGCCACGTGTTTCACCTTTGTGATTATAGAGGGAAGACTAACCCCACTCTCTGGCGTTGAATCTAAATAATAATGTCTGCGCATGTAACTCTGTAGCTTATACGACTACTGAGAAGTGAGAAAAGAAATGAATGTATGTGGGTTAGATTTTAAAGAGAGAGAGAGGTGGTAGACCTTTGCAAGCTCCGAAAATTATCAGGAAAAATAGAAATATTGCTACGTGGGGTCATAATAAGCAGCCGGTGCGTAGTTGCCAGAGTCATCACTCATCAGATCAGAATCTATCTTCTTCAGTAGATCCTCACGGCACAGGGAAGGAGAGTGAAGCAGACAATGCATACAGATTACAGCTCTTCGAATCATAAGAAGGAAATGAGAGAAAGATGTACATTTTCGATTTTTATACATGCTGGGTAGTAAGGAAATCTGCCTGAGAGATCAAAGGGAGAAGCTACAAGACTGAAAGCAAAATTACAGAGAAAACACTAATAAATTATAAGGGATTAAAGTAAGAAATCCTTCACAGAAAAAAAAGCTAGAACCCTAGAGCATCATCAAGGACGATTGGAAAGATATAGAAGTTCGAGTTGGAGTTTTTAGGGAGACGCTGAGATGGCTGAAACAGAATATACGTTTGCATGCAGGAGAAGAGATCTCTACATGAGGAGAAATGCAAAAAAAAAAAAAAAAACAAGCCTAAAATTGGTTCCTGCATGCCAGAAACGAATGGTGAGATCTCTATTTACAAATTGAACCCACAAACAAATCCCATTTACAAAATGGGAAAGCAAATAAAAGAAAGGAAAAGATTAGAACTAGAGAAACGATGTAACAGAGAGTTTGAGAGAGTTTCATCTTATTTTCGTGTGCTTTTATACTTTACCGGAGCCTGATTTAGGGTGCCTCTGGTAGCCATGAAAACCTGCACGTTCCATTTCTTCTGCTCTCTAAATCCTCTCTTTCTTTCTTTCTCTAAGCCAAGAGAAACACAGAGATTTTCTCTCTCTCTCCTCTCTCCTCTCTCCTCTCTCCTCTCTCACTTTCTAATTTGGTTCTAAGCTAATTGGGCAAGTGTCTTTATTTATAAGGGCGGATTGCTGAGAAGTGTTAACCACGTGGCGACTGGCGTTGTTAACGAGGAAGAGGAATCCGCGCAAGCGACGCCCCCTCACATTCACGGGGAGAGGTGGTTGAATAATTAGAATGCCCGGCGAATTTCCACGAAGTTGAGTTTCCGGAAAAGGCTGCACCGGCGAACGTCGGATCCACAGATGGGGATCCGACCGAGTGTTGTGATTCTCCGGCGGACGTCAGTGAAGTAGAGCTGCCGGAGGAAGAAGGCGATACTGGAAACGGGTGGTCGCAGGAGGATACTCTTGCGCTGCTGAAAATCCGGTCGGAGATGGATGCCGAGTTTAGGGATACAAACCCGTGTACCAGTGTGGGAGATCGTGTCCAGGTACCCTTTTCTAACCCCAGTAAGCTTCAACATATACAAATATTGCTGTTTATAATGCAAAACACCCATTTGTCTTCTTTGGTTTTTCCCATTTCTATTTTTTTGCTGTAAAAGCATTAAAGGTTAAATCATTTATGGGGAATGCTGAAACTTAATTAACTTGAGAGACAGTTGCTATCTACACTACGGTTGAGTGGACGGGAATGATTATTGGGGATGATATCTAGTCTAACCTCTAGTCTAGGTGTTTCCCCCGCAGGGTTCAAGGATTCCAAGGAAACCGAACCCTTAATCCATCTTCACTGGAAGTCTTCAAGGGTTTTTCCTCTCGTTTGTGTTAATATCTTTGATGGCTTTTGCATAGTTTGGACATTTGATAGTATTTAAGAACTTCTGCATAAATGTGGATAGTTGGCGGCCACCATCATTTTCATCCCTTTTCATAATATATAATTTCCGTACATAAATATTTCAAAGTAATATGTCAGTATTCGTTTTAGCCAGAAACAAAAGAAAAATAATCAATACGTGAGAAATTGGATTGGGTCGTTTTGTTTTAGAGAAGGGAAAAAATTCAAAAAGAAAAGGGGTGCGTATCAAGGCATCATGCGCATTATAGGGCGGACAGACACAGACGAGGTTGCTTTGAAGAAATTACAATAGCAAAAGTCAAAAAGTCAATAGTTGTCTGAAATTTGGGAAACAAAAGGTGAACCATTTGCAGAGTAGTTGTTGCTTCATTCTCTTTTCTCACTTGATTGAAATTGTAAATCCCTCGGACAATAAGGTGTAGACTAACGGCAACCCCCAGAAGAGAGAGAAGACGACGTTCAGATATAGAATAGAGACCCAAGTTATCTTTATTAATTAGTTTTATACTTTTATACTTTGGAAGGGAGAGCTAATAGGAAGTTAGGAACGAGCTCCTGCATGAATGCCACGTGTTTCACCTTTGTGATTATAGAAGCAAGACTAACCCCACTCTCTGGCTTTAAATCTAAATAATAATGTGTTCATGCAACTCTGTGGCCTGTACTACTACTGAGAAGTGAGATTACATGAATGTATGTAGGTTAGATTTTACATACATATATATATATATATAGAAAGAGAGAGAGAGGTAGACCTTAGCAAGCTCCGAAAATTATCAGAGAAAGGAAAAATAGGAATAATGCTACGTGGGGTCATAATAAACAGCCAGTGCGTAGCTGCCAGAGTCATCACTCATCAGATCAGACATAGAACCTATCTTCCTCAGTAGATCCACACGGCACATGCAACACAGTTGTGTGCGGAAAAAAGCAACTGATTTTAATGTCTTTGGGTTTCGTTATAGAATGAGAGTATAGGGAAGGCAAGTGAAGCAAACAATGCATGCAGCTCATCGAATCACAAGAAGAAAATGAGAGAAAGACGTACATTTTCGATTTTTATACATGCTGGGTAGTAAGGAAATCTGCCTGAGAGATCAAAGGGAGAAGCTACAAGACTGAGAGCAAAATTACAGAGAAAACACTAATAAATGATTAAGGGATTAAAGTAAGAAAGCCTTTACATAATAAAAAAGCTAGAACCCTAGAGTATCGTCAAGGACGATTGGAAAGATATAGAAGTTCAAGTTGGAGCTTTTTGGAAGACGCTGAGATGGCTGAAACAGAATATACGTTTGCATGCAGGAGAAGAGATCTCTAGATTCTCTACAGGAGGAGAAATGCAAAAAAAAAAAAAAAAGAGCCTAAAATTGGTTCCTGCATGCAAGAAACGAATGGTGAGATCTCTATTTACAAATTGAACCCACAAACAAACCCCATTTAATTTACAAAATGGGAAAGCAGATAAAGGAAAGGAAAAGATCAGAACTAGAGAAACGATGTAACAGAGAGAGTTCCATCTTATTTTCGTGTGCTTTTATACTTTACCGGAGCCTGATTTAGGGTGCCTCTGGTAGCCATGGAAACCTGCACGTTCCATCTCTTCTGCTCTTTAAATCCTCTCTTTCTTTCTTTTTTTCTCTAAGCCAAGAGAAACACAGAGATTCTTTGTCTCTCTCTCTCTCACTTTCCAATTTGGTTCGGCAAGTGTCTTTATTTATAAGGGCAGATTGCTGAGAAGTGCTAACCACGTGGCGATTGGCGTTGTTAACGAGGAAGACGGAATCCGCGCAAGCAATGCCCCCCTCACCTTCGCGAATCACGTTATCGGCCTTCGTGGTTGAACAACACTTTTCTGCTTTTACCGGCAGTCATAGGTAGCGGGTTCCCACTGTTTGTTTTTTTTTTGCAAAATTTAGTAATTTACTAGAACACAAAGGTTTCCGTTTTGAGTCGTTTCTTAAATACCTCATCATCATAATCATAAACAACTAACTAAGAAAATGCCGATGATAATTAAGTATAAGCAGCACCCTGAAACAGAAAAAGAAAATGTAAATGTTTGATATTTTAATGTTGTACAGTTATCAGTCTTGAAATATGAATTAATGAAAAATAAATAAATTATCAGACTTCTTCAATGAAATTAATTAAAATCAAGATTCAAATGTCACAAATATTCATTTCGGTCTCTAATATTGTCAAGTTCTCACTCTCCAATGTATTCTCCATCTATTATTTTAATAAAATTAGCATAGATATTTCATAATTTGTTTTAAAAATACTTTAGCACCACAGGACCAGATTACATAATAGGATTTGATAGAGAATGAAAGAGAAAGTTGAGGAAAAATTGTTAAGAATTTCCATCAACCTTCTTATTCTCTTATTTTCTATCAAATTCTTGCCGTGTAAGCGTTGCAATCATAAACTGAAGAATTCTAATTACTATTCATAAATTGTACTGAGCAAATATCGGAAATTGACACCGTGGCAGTTTTCCTTGACCGCAATATTCCACATTCGGACCGTAATATTTGGCTAATCATTGTAGCATAAATTTGGCCGGATTTGCTCAACTTGAATTCAAAGGTGTTGCGGAGGCTTTGAGCACATAGACACAGGAAAGACTCGTTTTCAAATGATTTTTTTTTTCTTTAATTTGCATTACTTCAGCTGGTGAATGTGTGTGTTGATTAATAAATGCCTAGAAGGGTAGACTAGTTTAAAGCTGTCAACTTAGGTGGGCATTATCAAATCCGAGCGGAGATTTTGCATGGTATATAAATACAAATATATACAGTATATATATAAAATAATACAAAATTCAGGCCCAGTTTGATTTACAGGAATAAAAGTCTGGAATTGGAATCGGAATGGGTTATTCCGGTTTCAACTGTTTGGTTGGATGAAATTGAAATCCTATTTCCATTTTTGTTGGAATAATATTCCTCCATTCTAGGGAATGGCCATTCCCTGCCCTCCCTTGAGAATGAAATCTCATTCATGATGAGTCCAATTTCCATTTTCATTCCTATTTAAACCAAACAGACTATGGGAATACACCATTTCGATTTCAATTCTTAAGGATTTTGATTCCGAATGAGAATCAAGCGGACCCTCAAGGTTTTGCGCTTTACATATTTATATTTAGGGAAAATTGCCGATTAGTACCTTGTACTTTGGGCTTAATGCCACTTTAGTCCCCAAACTTTAAAATGTGACAATTCAGTACTTGAACTTCCAAAACATGTCAATCCAATGCCTATTGCTAACCATCTGTTAAGTGGCATTTGAAAAAGACACAAATGCCCTTGAAATGCCATCTAATTTTCTTTATCAACCATCTAAACATTAACAAAAAATTAGCAGTCTCAAATCCTTGCCTCTTCTATTAAAGAAAGTTGGGATCACGTTTTAGTGGTCATTCTGGGGACCCCAACTTTCTTGAATAGAAGAAGAAAGGATTTGAGACTGTTAATTTTTTTGTCAAGATTTGGATGATTTATCAAGAACATTAGATGAAACTTGAAGGTCATTTGTGCATTTTTCAAATGCCACTTAACGAACTGATTAACAATTTATTAACGACAGGTATTGGATTGACACATTTTGAAAGTTCAGGTACTGAATTGTTGCATTTTAAAGTTCGGGGACCAAAATGGCACTAGGTTTAAATTACATGATCCTAATCAGGAAATTTTCCATGTAACCTAAAATGTTATATGCATGCAATAATCCAGCACATTGATGAAAAACCTAATTGTACAAATCTTATTAATTAAGACCCATCTCTAAGATGAAAAACCTCTTCAATAATGCGTAAATTGTCATTGGATCTATCTAGTACTCCTATTCCATGCTCTTAAAATCCATCTTCAAAACCAATTTCATTTTATGAGATGGACCTCCATCTCCATATTCATTAGAAATTTTTAGAAGAGTTCGTCTAATTATGCTGATGTTCGCTGTTTTTTCTTTAAATACTTCTGTTTGACATGTCTACAGATACGCATCAATCTCTATATTTCAATGTATTTTGGGCACTTTTGCACTTTTGGGAGAAAGGTTTTTAAAATCAAATTGGGCAATAAACCGGTCAGGGGTCCAGTTTTTGGGTCAAAAGATCTGATTGTTTGAATTGAATGGATGGCTCATTCTAACAAAAAAAAAAAAAAAAAAAAATGGTCAAACCGTTAAACGGTTCGACTACCCAGGTTAGTGGTTTGCTGACTAAATCAACGATTTTTGAAAAAATAACAATTTTAAAATAAAACAGACCGGTTCCTGATTTTTCCGTTCCAACTGTCTGGTCCAATCCGATTTTGAAAACTCATGTTGGGGAGTGCTGAGACGAAGGTTCAGTTATTTTGAAGCAGATACAACCCCTTCAAATCAGTAGGAATTGGCTGAAAACAAAATTATACACAATGAGTCATGAATGAATACATTAGTGTGTTGTTTTGATGGTTCACCGGTGATAGGATGTTCAGCTCAGTGTGCATGATTTTGTCACCAACCCATCAGTGGGCCGTGGTGCCAACATCATTATCCCCACGTTAAAAAATGCCCTTTGTTCTGATGGTGGCAGTGTCATCACTGATGATTCGTCTCTCTCTAGCCTATATAAGTGACATTTGTCTTTTAAATAACAAGCAGATAGCATGTGCCAACTCCCAAATAACCTAAGAAGTAAATATACAAATATTTATTTTTCAATATTTTAGAGGGAGAATAAATAATTAAATATGAGAGAGAGAGGTCCTACCGTCGTACCAAGGTCCAAGGTCATTTATGGGGGTGGTGCTGCGGTGAAGCCTCCTCATAAGTTATAACTTAAATAGGGGATTTGTGGGCCTTACGGCATTATATTAATTATTAAATTACAGATCCAGATGCAGTAGCACGTGGTAGCAGTAATTGGTTGATCCGGAACCGTTATCTGACACCATGATCCGATCCTGGAGAGACCCGGTTGTACACAATGGGTGCCCGCGTTGGTCGACACGAAGCCAACTTATTGAAAGCGCCAATATAACCATTATTCATTGGGATTGGATGACAGTGACCCAACTCGTTGACTTCAAGTAGCCGTGCTAGTCTGCTAAGCATTTCTTAATCCCAAACAACTGAAACTTTTCCTTTTTATATTTGGGTGGAAAACAAACAAGTAAAACTTAACTAATTATGTCCTAAATATCTTCACATATAAAAAAGGGTAATTGATTATAACACCCCTATAATTTAATGGATTTACTTAATACTTACCCTATTACTAAAACATCTTTTATAGTTTGTAACCTATTTATTTATATAAAGAAAGGTTATTGATTATAACACCCTCTATAGTTCAATAAATTTACTTAGACCTATCCATAATTATCATTTTACTAAAACATCTTTTATAATATGGTCACCTAAAATAAGTGGAAAATGTTTAAGGGTATGGGCTTGTGATTGTTTATTCCAAAAGCAACCTTAACATTTCTTTCTAGGGGCAAATGATATTTTCATTTTCATTCTCTTTTGATTAAATTTATTGAAATGAACATTAAGGTCAAAACTATCATTTTCTACTATAATCTAATGAAAGGTCGATTAAGTAAATATATTGCAAACTATATAGAGTATTTTAGTACAATGCAAACTATAGGATAGATTCTAGTAAATTCAGAGGGATGTTTTAGTAAATGACCCAATAAAAAAAATTATGTCAAAAAATAGAGATTATTCTTCAAAAGGGGGAGAGTGATCTGGGGACACCTCATTTTAGCAATATCCGGTGAAAGCCCTTGATAAATGATAAACATCAAAGAATGTACTCAAATCATTCCCCATAATGTAATGAACATAACTCAATTGACTTTTTTGTATGTCTAATTATACCCCATCTGATAGTCATTCTTTACTAAAAAACACCTCTTATAGATTTTACTGAAATACCTGATGAAGGGGAATTTGGCCCGACCTCGCAATCACCTGACACGTGGCAAAAATAAGCAACTCGGGACAGTAGAGCGCCCGAAGCAAACACCGAAAGCAAGTCCAAGCTCACTACTGAGCCCGAACTCCAGACCGCTCTACTAGGAGCCCGAGCTCCCTACTGGGAGTCCGAGCTCCCTATTAAGAGCGAGCTCCCCACCAAGAGCCCGAGCTCCCTACTGGGAGTCCGAGCTCCCTATTAAGAGCGAGCTCCCTATTAAGAGTCCGAGCTCCCTATTAAGAGCGAGCTCCCTATTGAGAGTCCGAGCTCCCTATTAAGAACCCGAGCTCCCTATTGAGAGTCCGAGCT